TGGAAGTGGGGGGGGAGATATTACAACGACACCTGGAAGTGGGGGGGGGATATATTACAATGACACCTGGAAGTGGGGGATATATTAGGCTGCAAGTGAACATTTTGTCATTGAAGTTGATGTGTTGGATAAGTGAAGAAAGTGAAAAAAATGGGCGAGTTTAAGGATTTGAGGGACTTTGACAAGAGCCAAATTGTGATGTCCAGTTGACTGGGTCAGAGCCACTCCAAAACTGCAGCTCTTGTGGGATGTTCCCGGTCTGCAGTGGTCAGGACCGACCAAAAGCGGTCCAAGGAAGGAAAACCAGTAAACCAGTGGCAGGGTCATGGGCAGCCAAGCCTTGTTGATGCACATGGGGAGGGAAGGCTGGCCCGTGTAGTCCGATCCAATGGTAGAGCTACTGAAGCTCATATACATCACGATTTTCTGTGGACTCCCATGATACCTTTGTCACTTGGAAATACTATATTTGCGTGTACACCTTAAAGCGTATCTAGATCCAAAAACAAAGATATAATATATTGCACCATAGCAGCCCTTATGGGTGGTGGCCACTTTTGGTCAGGACCGACCAAAAGTGGTCCAAGGAAGGAAAACCGGTGACGGGGTCATGGGAGGCCAAGGCTCATTGATGCACATGGGGAGGGAAGGCTGGCCCGTGTAGTCCGATCCAATGGTAGAGCTACTGAAGCTCATATGATTTGGTGCCAGATAGCACAGCATACCTTCAGGGGCCTTTCTTTAGAGAAATACGGGGTCGACGTTGATGACCAAACTTTGAAAATGTTTTTTTGCCTGGTTGTTATGCAGCTTCAGTACTTTGAATCACGGAGCTTTAGCATAAGGTCCATTCACATCAGTGGGTGAGCGTTGGTGATTTGTATAACGAGCACCTACTACAGGTGTATTTGACGCATTGCACTGTTTACCTTCTTTTTTTATTCTTGAAATGTCACAAAAAGTGTCATTCAACTTAATGCAGCGCATTTCAATGTGGTTTAGTGCGCTGCATAAAAATTCATCCTGTCCTGCTTTTCATCAGCATTGCATTGCTTGTACTGAAACAATAGGACATAAGGTAAATTGGCTTGCCTGTGCTTTGGGCGATGCTGCATAATTCATATAGTGTGACTGGGCCCCAACATGGTAACAAACATACACATTATAAAAGCCAGACGTCCCTGCTGCATGCTTGCTCTGCATTAGAGAATATTGCAGTATTGCATGCATTTGCAAGATGAGAATAATGCATCGGCAGCCTTCAGGAAAGATTTCCATTCAAATTTTGTCTAATTGTTTTATTTGTGACCTCCATTATAGAGCAACCAGAAGAAGAAAAGCAAACGAAGAGAAAGCCAAGCTCAGCAAACCGGAACCCAAACAGAACGGTAGGAAGAGTTCTCCATTGTTTCCATCTTTGTATTGCAAGCAGTGGAGGTTGGCTCTCCACACGGTCACAAGTACCCACCGGCATCGACTAATAGATGTTGCCCATACCAACCAGCAGCAGTCATTACTCCATTATAAAACAGGCAATTGGTTGCTATTGACAACTCTGTCCCATCGTGCAAATGTACTTTTGAGAGTCGCAACCTCTTCAGCAAAAGGGGTGTAATGTGCTACGCTGCGGCCGCTTTTCTTTGACAGATGACATTGTGACATTCTAAGAGATCGCACATTGTTTTATATGCTGTGCTGAATACAACAATGCAGTCATGACATAGGGGGGTTTATATTACATGTCAATGCCAGGGTCAGCTGTGATGAGGCCACCATTTGTCCAATATAAAGAAATGGTTAAAGGAGAACTATGGGGTCAGTGCTTTTCCCCATAGTTCTCCTAAGGGTAACGGGAGGACACAAACTAGCGCCCACCCGTCACCCTAGGCTCAGTATACCGCGAGCTACTGCTCGCGGTATAATGAGACGATGAAGCGGATCCCGACAATTATGTCTGGATCCGCCCAGCTGCGTGAGTGACAGCTGGCTCTGCCTATCGAGAGGCAGAGCCAGCTGTACCCGCCCCTCCCCTTTCCGTTCCTCCACTCAGCGCTGGAGGATCGGACAGGGGAGGGGGGAATCCATGCAGGGAGCCGTGACTGATGGTCACGGCTCTCTGCAGGGACAGGATCGAGGTGTTCGCTCACTTCCCGATCTATTGAGCCGACGTGTGACAGTTTCATTGTCACACGTCGGCTCGAACTATGAGGCTGAGTGAAAATCACTCACCTCATAATTCTCCTATTAATAAACTTTGCCTGAGTGTCAAGGTGTCGTATTAAGTTTGTGGACTGATTGTCTACATATTTTATATTGTTGGAGACCTCTAAGTTTAAGGGGTTGAGGAGTACAGATAGAGGATCTGTTACTTTTGAATTGAAAAAAACATGTTTTTCTCAGGGCTCATTCGCTGGGAGGAACAGTGCTGATGCACCTCACGATCAGTGGCGTAGAAATCACCATAGCGACTCAGGCGGTCGCTATAGGGCACTCGAGTGGGCTTTGCAAAGGGTATAACTAGAAATCACGGGGGCCTCATACAAAAGTTTGCTATGGGGCCCTGTGATTTCTAGTTACGCCCCTGCTCACGATGTTTACTATTTATTTTTTTTGTCACAAGTGACATTCCATTCAGTTCTATACACCACATTGCGATCCAGTGGTTTGCGATGCAACACACTGTGCAGAAAAAAAAGCATAAGGATTTGACTGACTTTGACAAGGGCCAGATTTTGATGTCGAGACCACTGGGTCAGAGCGACTCAAACTGCAGCTCATGTGGGATGTTCTCGGTCCCGGTCAGGACCAACCAAAAGTGGTCCAAGAAAGGAAAACCAGTGATGGGGGTTATGGGGCTACAGCTGTTTTATGTTAGTTACCATGCCCACTGGTCATACGACTGGTTTGATTTGTCAGAAAGGCTGGGCAGATAGCCAAAGACCTGGACCAAGAGCAGAAGTTGTTGGGATGGCTGGAGGACGGTGGTGTTGGCTAACATTGAATGGGGAGCTTTTAAAATCATCAGAGGATCAGGGGTTGGAGCGGAAGGGGGAATGCAGTAGAGAGAAGCCGCTTCTTAAACGCCCAGCAGGGGTACAAACACAACAAAAGATGGTGTTTCCAACACACCTGATTACAGGCGATTGTGATAGAGGTGACTGGGGCACTGCAGTGTCACCTGTATAAAAACACCTGAGCTCATTGGCTGCATCTGCTGTGTGGATTGGTTTATTGATTTTTAGGTTTACAATATTAGCAACAATATTGTCATTTTATCATACGCCACGATGCGATAAAGTCTAAGCATAGGGGTGCGTATACTGCCGTTAACTGTCGGAGCACACTCCAGGAGAATTGTCTGCATAACGCAAAGATCTCTCCGGCCATTACTACATTGAGTCATTGTTCTAAGCCCTGAAAAAGGGTAGGGTTTTCCCCTGAAACGCGTTGGTTTGGCTACTTGATCAAATTGTGAACAATAAAAACTTTTTATAGTCTCTGATCCTTCTTTGCTTTGCCATCCGCTGCTGTTTGGTCATTTCTTACTTTAAGCGGAAGCAGCATTTAATTGGTTTCGTCCTTTTCAGACAGTTAGTTTAACAATCCTTTGATCCCTTTTGCTTCTTCCGTAGGTGCTGTCCCAGGGGACCTGAAAGGGAAGAGAAAGCCTGCTGTCTTCAGCGATGACAATGCAGAGTGGCTGAAACCTGTGAAGAAGATGAGAAAGGAAGAGGAGAGCGAGGAGGAGGAGAGCGAAGAGGAGAAATTTGACCAGAAGAAGAAGAGTGGTGAAAAGAAGAGGCGGGAGCCTGGTGACCAGCAGGAAGAAGAGAGCGGAGAGGAGGAGAGCGGAGCGGAGGAAGAAGGGAGTGATGTTGAACCGGCTGGTGCTCTGGATCTCTCAGACAGTGATGACCTACAAGATGATTTTGGAGCCTCCTCAGAGGATGATGATGATGATGAAAAAGGAGTAAGTTGCTCACTGAAAACTTTATCTATAGGAGCCGGTTCTCTTATTCTGCACACAGATTCCAGCTTCTGACCTGTTTTATAATGCAGTGCAAAGCATACACTTGGGCCCCATTTATAAAGCAGTGGTGCAGCCGTCCCACCTCTTTAAACAAATAAGTTCATCTGTGTTCTTTACTAACATATGTTACTCTCTGCTTGCTTTGGTGTGCTAAAGCAAATGATGCTCCTTGAACGAAACAAATGCTTGGAAGAGGGGAGTCTGGTCATATGACCTAGGTTATAACGATGAAGATCACCAGCACTCAAAGGCTAACATAAATCCAAGTGTTCTTTTATTCAAAGAAGCATGTCACAAGTGTTATATAGCCAATGTTTCGGAACCATGCAGAGTCCCTTCATCAGGGCAAACAGTGATGGTTGCTATGTTTGCCCTGATGTAGGGACCCTGCGTAGTTCCGAAACGTTGGCTATATAACACTTGTGACATGCTTCTTTGAATAAAAGAACACTTGGATTTATCTTATCCTTTGATTGCTGGTGATCTTCATCGTTATAACTTTTGGATACGCACGGCACCATCCGTGGACATCACTGCAAGCACCATGACTATCTTAAAAACCGGTCTCCATTGCTGTATGATGTGCAGCTGATATCTTTGTAGGTCACATGACCTGTTCGGCATGTGGTCAGCTGTAGTGTAGGTGCCTTGCTCACTGCCGTATTGGTGCGCCATTAATTTTAACAATGCACCACGTTTGTGTATTACCGCAATGCATAAGTTTGAATGGGCCCTTGACTTTCCATTCTGTTCTCTTAATTTAGCTTCTTCCAATAGAGAAGGCCGCTGGGAAACAGAAGAAGAAGATTCAAAGGTAAGGAATACCAATTGCATCTTTCTGAACATTGTCCCGGTCTTCTTCCTTTCTATGTGGATTCTACTTCCTTCTTTATTCCTTGTGCAAAACTATGTCCCTGACAGCCATTGGATTATTCGTGAGGGAGGCCGTGAAGACATTTATCTATGAGCGTGTCTCTGCCTACCTGCTTCCCTATCACGTTTGAGTAGATCTGAAGAGGATAAAGAGAATGAGCTCCTTTTATTTATTACAGGGAGAAAGAGAAGGAAAAGGATTCCGAAATCCAGCTCAATGTTGACGCGGAGGAGCACTTTACCTTGCCGACCACGGAGGAGATGGAGAGTGAGAGTATCCTTGTCTGTGACATTTTGGCAATAGGTGCTGGAGGGATGAATCTGGCTTTGCACTTTCCATTTCCACCAGCATGGAGTCGTACCCCTCTTGTTGTAGAAAGGGGGTGCTTGGCTTGCTTCAGTTTTGCAGTAACCCAAACTTGTGTGTAAGTTAAAAACTCCCCACAATGCACCTGGCTATTGATTTAGATCTGCTATGATGTATTTTTGGCCTCACCCACTGGCATCATGCTAGCGCCCTTAACACGTCTCTCAGTCTCGGCACCGCTGGATCTCACTGCAGTGCAGGACCGCATTAAGGATGTAGTGGGCGTGTTGCAGGATTTCGCTAATCGGGGAGGGGACCGCTCCCGCCAGGAGTATGTCACCGTTCTGCGCCAAGATCTTGCCACATACTACAGTTATGGCACCTTTATGATGGAGACCCTCAGTGACCTGTTTCCTGTGTCAGAGGTGAGAAGGATTGCTTGTATTTGAACACGGTGTATGTCCCAGGAATTGTCTGTGAATGTGAGCTGTGTGGTAAAGCCCAGTTGAAGTTTTACAGCTATTGATTTTATAGTCCTGTGCTTCCTATGATTTGTGACTAGTTTTTACTTAATAATATTTTTTCCTAGTGAAATACTGCTTCCTGCATTCATGCCACAGTGCTCTGTGCTGGCAGAGCTGAGTAACAGAGGCACCTCTCAGCACAAGTGTCCTCATACAGACTTGCATGCAGAGGATGAAAGTGGCGTGTCTGACCAGTGCTGATTACAGAGTGCACTGTCGAATACAGTATAGGCACCCTGTAAAACTGCTGTAACGGTTAATTGGAGGCATGTCTGAGACTCTCTATCTTCAGTAGTTTGAGTCACCGACCCTGCACAAGCATATAGATTAAAAAAGTCAGCAAGTGCATTCTTCCAGATCTTTGCTTCATAAGGTATGGAAGCCAATGGATCAGCATGGGAACTGAGAAGCTGATATTTTCAGAAGCAGAGGTCGGCAAAGGCAGCCTCCATAATTTTCCCGTACAGATTTATTTTGCATGAGAAAACTATTTAAAAAAATGAAGTCCCTGCAAACGATCATTATTAGTAACGAATTGGCGAGCGGTGACTCCATTCTTCACTCTCTCGAGTTACAGCCACCGATTCCCCAGCATGCAACACCTTTCCGTATGTGTACTGAATGCCTGTGCCACCGACCCCTGGCTTTTGCCTGTGCTCTTTGGTTCTTTCTCCCGGCCACTACAGGACACCGTAATAAGAAAGATTCTTTGGCTGGGGGGCATTGTAGAAAACAAACTTCAGCCTTGACTTGTTTTTTACAGAAATTCAGGTGACTAAGTCACTTTAATGACTGTGTTAACTAACATACAGTCAATTCAAGGAACTTAGGAAGTGGCTTAGAGAAGCTACAAAATGTCTTTGGCATTACAGAACAAGTCCAGATGAGTGTGACTAACTACGACCAGCTATACGGTCAAGTCCTAAGTCTTCGTTAACAGAATTTGTACCGTTCTCATCCTCATATGGAAAGAAGAATAATTATTTATTAGCACTACAGAGCCAAACATTGTCCAAGTTTGGGCATTTATAGAGGTGACATTTCTGATCTTTTATCATTCGTGGTGTCAGGATCCATGGACAGCCCAGTAGGCCTCTTGGATTTTACTTCCCATGTTTTGTGTCCTCTTCAGCAGACTGCTAATCCATCTCTTCTCCTATTTCTCTAGCTGGTTGATTTTCTGGAGGCGTGTGAGGTCCATCGTCCGATCACTATCAGGACCAACACCTTGAAGACACGGAGACGTGACCTGGCTCAGGTACGCGTTCACCTTCTGGACATAATCATTCATAACTTTCTACAACAGTTTATAGATATACAGATTTTTTTTTGCACCAATATAATATTTATATCTGTAGCATTGTATGTTAAGCATCATCTGATTCCGATGCACTGATTCCGATGCTTAGCCCGATACTTCAGTGAGTCATTACACGCTGCCTGGCTTCCTGATTGGCCGGGAAGCTTGTGACGAGGGAGCATGGAGCCGGCTTCCCGCCCAATCAGGAAGCCGGGCACCGCATCATCACACGCCGCCCGGCTTCCTGTTTGGCCAGGGAGTCGGCTCCATGGTTTCTCATCACCTAGTGACAAGAAGCATGGAGATGGCTTCCCGGCTAATCAGGAAGCCAGGTGGCAGGTCATTACACACCACCTGGCTTCCTTAACCTCTTGCCGTCCGCCCGTAGTAAAAAAACGGACGGACGGCACTGCAGCATCTGCGGGTTGCCAGACGGCAATTTTTTTCTGCTCGCGCGCGCCCCCTAGCGGGCACGCACGGGCAGATAAGACCAGTC